GCCCCGCCCCGCCCGCCCTCACCAGCTGCCGTTGTCTTCCAGCCTACGACCCCCAGCAGATCTTCAAGTGCAAAGGGACCTTTGTTGGCCACCAGGGGCCCGTCTGGTGTCTCTGTGTCTACTCCATGGGTGACCTGCTCTTCAGTGGCTCCTCTGACAAGACCATCAAGGTGGGTGGGGCCCTTCAGGGGGCTGCAGCTCACCTAGGCTGGGGTGGGTTCTGCATTGCAGCCTCTGCCTATGCCAGCGTGCCCTGTCCTGCTGGGTGCTGGTTGGGCCTAGCAGGACCTCCTCTGACCCTGGCTCCCATAGGTGTGGGACACATGCACCACCTACAAATGCCAGAAGACGCTGGAGGGCCACGACGGCATCGTGCTGGCGCTCTGTATTCAGGGGTGAGTCCCAGCGTGTGCTGTGGACCACGGGGCTGGGAGCCTGTGTATCCAGATCCCCGCCCCCGGGGTCCCGCAGCCTGAGCAGGACAGCCCTGTGTGCGCTGCTGCCTTGCTGCAGGTATCTGTTCATAAAACCTGGCATGTCCAGCCTCCCAGCAGAGCCTGGCCCTGGCCCTGGCCCTGCCCTGCCCTGCCCTGCGTGTGCCTCCTTGGGTGACAGGGCAGGTGAGGCCAGAGTCCCCTGTCCTTAGCCTGTAGCCAGAGCCCTGGGCACTGCTTTGGGCTTCAGGACCTGGCCACCTTCCTCCTGGCCTCTTGCATAGACGGGCTCTTCAGTCTGGCGTCGTGAGACTCTGTGTGCATGGGCGTGCGTGAGTGTGGGGGGAGAGGCTTGCTTGCAGGTGGTAGCAGCGTGACGCAGCAGCCGGCCTGAGCAGTGCTCAGCACTGCAGGTAGGGAGTTACCTCCAACTCAGCTGTCGGGTGCTTTCCAGGCAGGCACAGGCCAGGCTCCCTCTTCCAGCATTCCCACATTGTGACAAGAAAGCTGAGGCTGGGTCTTAGGGACAGCGGTGGCCTGGGCACCAGGTCAGGCACTCCGCCCAACCCCATGGCTTTGCTCCCTCAGGTGCAAACTCTACAGTGGCTCCGCAGACTGCACCATCATCGTGAGTGGGGCCCATGGAGGGCTGGGTGGCTGGACGGGGTTGGCCGGTGCCCTGAGGCTCCCACACTCGCCCTCAGGTGTGGGACATCCAGACCCTGCAGAAGGTGAACACCATCCGGGCCCACGACAACCCCGTGTGCACGCTGGTCTCCTCCCACAATGTGCTCTTCAGCGGCTCCCTCAAGGCCATCAAGGTGCCAGGGAGGGGTGTGGCCGGCAGCCGGGCTTCGCGCCGGCAGGCGCACTCCTGGGCATCTTCCCCAGGGCGGGGCAACGG